CGTGCGCGCTCGCGCGCATAATCGTTGTATATTCGAGAATCGACTTAATTCTTAGTGGAAAATGGCGGATACCGTGAAGGGTGGAAATATTGGTCGATCGGAGCACGAAAAAACGGAGCATAGTTTGACAGTTACCAAACAAAACGAATCGAAAGGATCGATTTTGGAATGAACGGCATTCTCGGAAAAAGCAAACCCGATCGTCTGAATATAGACGAGTCCGAGGAGCAAAGGAGCAAAGGAGCAACGGAAGATCTCGCAAATGGATATCTGATACGAAACGCGTTGGCAGTGAAGAGGACGCGCGACTTGGATCGATGAAAACGTTGGAATAGTTGGCCGTTTTTCGAAGGAAAACAGAAACGAGAAGAAGAACGAAAGCGTCGCGGAGGGAGGCTGAATAACCGGCAAGCATCGTCCAAGCTTCTGTTTTCTTTCTACGTGACTTACGCGTACGCGTGTGTTCTCCTTTCTACCCTGTACGAACGTTATATTTTTAATACGTGTATGTGCTCCTGCGTGTGGATGCGCGCGCGCGCGCGTGCGTGAGCGATGTTGGACGATGTCAGAAGTTCGTCGTACGAATGGAAGCGTCAGCTTTATTCGATAAGGATGGGATCGGTGGTGATTGACCGACGGTCATTGCTTTAACGCTACGTTACTTTATGCGAATGTACTTGGGCGCATACGCGATACGCGACGCGCATACCTATACGTAACCTATGCGTACACGTATACGTATAGACGTGTATGCATTCTCGCGTACGTACACGTAGATGCGTAGGTGTTTAATGCGCGTGGGTGGGTATCGGGTATGACGCGTTTGTAGGTGTGGGTGTTTGTTCCTCGTACGTACGTACGTACATACGTACGCGTATTTTGTGGTAACGTGTAATGGCATGGAAATGAGGCGCGCGCGAGTGTCATCCCGAAGAAAGATACGCCTCTCGCCTGGAAAGCTGTTCCGTGCTCCAAAACCGAAAGGAGATTCTTCTCGCGAGTGGTGCTCGTGCTCGTGCTCGTTCTCGTGCTCGTGCTCGTGCTCGTGCTCGCGCTCGTTCTTACCGATTTAACCTCGTCTACGTCGAGCGCGTGCGTTTCTCGTGTATCTTTCATTTTCTTTATCCATATTTGGCCCATCGGTTTTAATTGTTCCGTAATTTGAACGGTACGCTTTAACGCACCGACCTCGGACGCGCCGACGATCGAACAACCTCTCCGATGATTCGCGAGTGACATCAACAAACTACTAGCATCTTTCGGTATCGGGAAGAAAAATGCGCAACGGGTGGCTAAGGAACTTGTTCGCGACAGCAGTTCTCGCCCTCATGGTTCACGGTAAGTCGATGGATTTTCTTTTCCCTTTCGCATCTCGTTGTTTCCCGAGATTCTTCGTTATTCGAATACCGAACGCGATACATCTCTACCTTATACGTACAACGTGTTTTCCTCCGTTTTCCGTTTTCGCTACTTTTAGCGTTTCTATACCGCTTTCGTGGCATGTAGAAAAGTAGCTCGTCGCCGGAGCTCGTAAATCTTGGAACGTATTCGCGAATCGATCGATTACCCCCTGTACACGTATCCGATAGAGGAATTTCATTTCGAAAAGTTCTGCTCGATTCGATCTGTACTCGTGCAACCGATCAATGTACATGTATCTATACGCGCGTTCGAAGTTTACTGAAAACGAGTTCAACCAGAGATATTCCTTCTTTTACGACGTCTCGTTAACAGACACGAGATAACGAACGAGAGAAGAAACTGACAGAAATGGTAAAGTTTCTTCGAGATAAATGTTTTGTTCGCGAGCTCGATTCGTTGAATCAGCCTGATTGAAAAAAAGAAGAAAAGGAGCAGAATTCGGACTGCGCGCTAAACGAGTTGTCTACGTACCTTAAAAAAACTATTACTTTCGAACATCGTCTACGTTCACCTACAATCAATAATTCGTAATAATTCGTAATAATTCGTAATAATTCGTAATAAGAACTCACGGAGGCGATGTTGTTTGTTATTCTTTAAAGCTTGGACTTGATTCGCGAACGAAAGCATCTGCTGAATAGCTAATTGTTCGTTACTGACGCCAAAGCGTCTCGACGAAATTAGATCGAAATCACTTAGTTTCCCGTGAAAACTGTATAAAAAATAAAATTACGTTTATAGTATGTGCGAAATGCACGAACTAAACAATTGAACACGTAGAAAAAATTAACGCGTGTTTTTATTGTTCGAGCGAAACGTAACGGGAATGATCGCAACAAGGATTTCACGATGACAGAAATCGTTTGTTCTTTGTTTGTTTGGTGGTCGATTTTCAGAGTTTCAGAGACAGATACAGCGGACAAAATTACATACTGTTCGAAGATCGATAGAAAAAAGCGCGAAGCGACCAAAAGATAAGTTTGGAATTCGCGAACGATCGATCGCCTCCGGAGAAATTTCACGTTGATCGTATCCTAGCAAAAAGATACGCTAGAACGATAGATGCTGGTTGGTCTATTTTTGTGGATGGAAAGTCTTACGAAGATGGCCGAGTTTAGCCGATGTTAAACGAAACTATTAGGTTATGCGCGATGCCGTGCAACGAGGCGATGCAACGAGTCTACCGATGAATCTTCCATACGTATACGCGATACATGATACACGATAGACGATAGACGATACACGATACACGATACACGTGTTTCTTATAATTGTTCTTCGATCGAATTATATTCGTCGCGCGTCGCTCGTCCTGCGTATCGGCTCGCATAAAAGTTATCGAAACTTTTACCTGGTTAACGAACGATAAACTTACGTATTTATTCGATCGTGGTTGTTTCCATACCGTGCACCAACAATGGAACGCTTGATCGTTCGCTTAATCGTACAATGACGAAAAAATAACGAGTAAGCAATTTTTCAGGTGCTCGCGAATGAACTCGATGTTGTGTACCCGTAATTGTCGTACAAAAACAAGTGTACGAAGTACATAACAAGAAAGTAAATCAGAATTTAAAAAGTGATCCCTCCGGTTGTACTGGCAGCGCTACTACACCGCTTTCCTTTATTATACTAATCGTTGTGTTTAAACGGAAGCACGAAAGTAAATTGTTCGTATCTCATTGGAATAAGGTACACACAGCGGTCGGAAAAAAAAAAACGCGAGTAAATTGATTTTAGCATAGAATTTCGGTTTAACCGAAAGAGTAATAACCGTATTAATCTCGCATAAAAATAACTATCTATAATATCTAAAATAAGTATCTCGGAATCGTTTGTAAATTGCAGCGACACGACGGATATACACACCGGAGGGTATACACCAGAGGGAAGGAGAAAAGAAAACGAATGTAGTCACGTATGGGTGTGGATATTAACAGTTTCGTCGATAACATAGATTTTTAACGATATCATTTTAACGATGGTACGCGTGAAACGTATTCATTTTTCTATCGTTTCTATTCTTGACTACAAATTATGTTCGTAGAGCGAGTGCGCACATGGATAAATTGAAAATTGTCTGCGTGTTAGCTACTACATCGAAATAAGTAGTTTTCGTTACGAAAAGCGGTATACAGAAAAGATTCGAACGCGTTTCGATATTCGTTTTGAACGTTCGCGATATCGATCGTATCTCCCTTTGTAAGGCTATTCCTTAAAAGCGAGGAAAAATAGGAAAACGCCATTCGCTTCGTAACCTTTTCAATCATGGTACCGGCTGGGACACGTACGTCTCGACGAATGTTTCTCTTCCTCAGTGGGACAATACGTGCTACTTCATGCTCTTTTAGTATGTCGACTAAAAGTCGTTTTAGTATTACCGACTTTGTAAACATAATCGCTTACATACTAGTCTTTATTTAAGCGGTATAAAGTTTACTTTGCCGTAAAGTTTATTATGCGCAGTAGTTTATTATCGCGTAGGGATGCGTTTTTCGGATATTCCGAATGTAAACGATTACTTAGAAAATGTACTAGCAATGTACCGAGACCGTAACGCGAGGACGAAAAAAATAGAAGCGGATCGTTGATTTTTCTCGGACGCGTAACGTAGCTGGCATTTTTTCCTTGTTTCCCGTTTCACGAGTTTCACGAGTTTCACGAGAGTTCGGACTTGGACGGATAAACTCCGAAAGACTCGAAGGAAGCAGGGTGTGTCGGTCGAACCCTCTCGGAGGGTTCTTCGAGTCTTAGGTTTCCCTCGCGTCTCAAGGAATTCAATGGTTATTCCCGTTTCGTCTTCTACCTTCCCCTCTTACAAGAATATCCTTCTTGGGGATCGAATGTAATGAAACAGTTTTTCTTTTTCTGCCCTTATTCCTTCTTCTCTCCTAGGCTCGCCAGCTTACTTATACTTTATGCCTTATACGTACGCCTATAGACTCGACGAGTTTCATGCTCGATGCAACGCGTGCCTTACGTTACGATTATTTTCAAACAATAAGGATAATTTCGAATACAGTAACCTTCTTCTATCGTTCTTCGCCCTTTCCATCCACGGTATAGTTTTGGATGCTCGCCAAATGTTACTTCGTATTTGGGAGATTTTCAAGTACCTTCGATCCTTCGGTCTTTGTCCATTTCGGTCGTCTCCGACTCCGGCGAGTTTCGTCTACTCTCTCGAAAAGACTTTTTCGAAAAGAAACGAACCGTTCGCTTTTCTCGTGAAAATATTATATTTGCACTAAAATAGTATATTTCTGTGAATCATTAACCATTTGATCGGGTGAGGGTGAACGCGGATAAACGGATCGACGAAATAAGGAAAATCGCCAGGCGAAAAAGTAGCGGAGGGAGGAACGGTTTAAAAGAAAGCGAACGTACGAGCAAGAAGTAAGATGAAACGAGAGGAAAAGGGGAACCGATAAGGGATTTATGGAAGAGGCGAAAGAAGGAAAAAAGAAAAGGGCAAGATTCGGCGGTGGCACAGCTGGTAGGAGCCAACGAAGCCGGCGAAACCGGTAAAACTAACAGAGGCGAAGCAACAGCGGCAAATCAATACTCGCGTTGCAGCCGCCAAGTCACGAGCCAAACGATCGTCTATCGGACCATTCTGTTCCTTCCTTTCTTCTTGTTATTTCGATCCCGGCATATTTTCCTAGTGGGACGACGAAATTAATCGAGGAACGTATGGACGGTAAATTTCGTGCACGTAGCAACGTTGCCTCTCTGATCGAATCGAATCGAGTTCGATCCCGTTCAGCGCTCATCTTTCGTGTCCTATTCAAATAATTTAGGGTACGAAGTTTTCAAAGTTTTGAATAAGGATCAGCGACAAGGTAATAGTAGTACCGAACAGTTATATCGGAAGCGTTTACTTGAACGTTCTTCGAATCGATACAGCTATTTCTAGGCTGCTACGAGCTATTAAACTCGCGAATGTCCTCGTAATCGGACAACTCGAGAATAGAATATCGACGATAGATAGACAGATAGGTGGATGGATGGGTGCCGCTGTTAGAAATCAAAGTAAACCGGGATAATTACCGAGATAATTACCGAGAAATAGAACGAAATCGAAAGTAGAGGAGGAATAAAAAAAGGGGTAAACCAGCCGAATAAAATGGAACGAAGAGCGAAGAAACGGACACGACGAGGGTATAGAAAAGGAAGCGGATAGAAGAGTGACGGTCGGTTGGCGAGAGGCAGGTTGCCGAGATAGCTTGATTCGGAGAAGGTTAGAACCGAAATGAAACGAGATGCCTCGGGCCTACGAAGCGCAAGAACCGCGAGTTTGTTCGCGCGTGCTCACGACTCTGTTCAACGGCGAAATATGAAAACTCCGGAGGCGATTTTAATTTAGCCACAATGTCTATTGTTTCCGAGTGCTGAGGCGAGAGGACAAAAGAAAAACGTAGGATCGCGGGCGCGCGCGCGCACCTACGAGCCTACGTGTAATACGTATACTACTCCCGTCTCTATACGGTATATGTACGCGCGTGCGCATCAAACCAAAGATATTTAGTACGTGGCTATAAAAAAAGCTAAATTAAATAAATAACAAGAGATTTTCGGATCATTCGAAATAACTATATATCGTTACTTTTGGCGAGCGCGAAAGTCAACGGTTTTTCTTCTCTTTTATTCTTTTTCGCTCGAAACAAAGGAACCTTTTATCACTCGTTTTTCTCGGCGAATATTCGAGCGATCGTGGGTTACCTCCGAATTTCTTGGCATTCGGAAACGGTGCCTAATAAAGCGTTCACGAGCGAGTTCGCGATTCCTTTCTTGTCCAAGGTAATTTCTGCCCGCGAATCGGATCGTATCTATTGTTAGTTCCGCTCGGCGCGCGCGGCGGCGGTAACGAACAGTGTTTTCCTCGTCGAGTTATACTTATAGAGTGCAATCGAAAAAGGGGATTGTAGCGTCTAGTCGGAACTCGAGTAAACGTTGTCGCGGATGCGATACGTTTCTCGGATAACTTTGCTAGACTGGGATTCGCGAACTGCGCGAAGCGATCCCGGGTTACTCGCGGTCTATGCGTCGTATCCGTGCGTTCCAAGAATATTTCGGGATCCATCGAGCGATATCGAGATACGTATCTGGAATAGCTCAGTTCCAGGCCGAATTTCGAAAGCGGTAACTGGTAACACGAGCAGAGATTCGCGTCTATCGCGTAATGATCGAAACGCGATGCAACGATCCGAAAGCTTACTCGATCGATCGCGCTAACCGATGCGCGTCGAGACGTAAAATGTTCGATCGGGGAACGTCTCATTCGGTAAATTTAAACGAGTCCAATTCCTTTCTCTATTCCGTGTTGTTCGATACAAGGTGTTTGTAATGACTGTTTCAGGGCAGTTGAGATCACCGCGTATAACGGAACATCCTTCGGACATTATCGTAGCGAAGAACGAACCGGTAACGCTGAATTGCAAGGCAGAGGGTAAACCTCCACCGGTGATCGAGTGGTACAAGGACGGTGAGCTGGTACAAACGTCACCGGGAGATGCGAAATCTCATCGCGTTCTGCTGCCTACGGGATCCCTTTTCTTCTTAAGGGTAATGCACGGGAAAAAGGAGCAAGATGGCGGAGTTTACTGGTGCGTCGCAAGAAACGAAGCTGGCTCCGTTCCGAGTCGAAACGCTACCCTGACCGTCGCAGGTAACGCTTTTTCTTATTTTCTACATTTTCTTTTTCAACTCGGTTTCCCTCGAAGAACGCGCGTTCCGCGCCCCCGTCACCTTTCAAATATCAATTTACACGCGTATCGATATTTATTTGTTCCCCCGAGCGTATCGATCGATGCGACGTCGCGAATAGAGAAATTTGCGAAATACGCTCGTTCACCTCGCTCTAATACTTTCTTCGACTCATCGACGATTCGAGCGAAAATCGCAGCATTTTGGCGCGGTTTGCTCGCGAGGAAACACGATGCAACGATTTTTCAAAAAATCGAGCTAATATCGATTCGCGCGTAACAATGAAGGAACGCGAGGCCGGTCGTGTTCGGACAAACGAAGAACGGAGCAGAGTTTGTTTAAGGTCGATCGATATTCCAGAAGAAGGGGAAGGGTAGTTCGAAGAGAGAGAAGACGACAACTGTGTACGTCGAATACACCCGTCTCCTTACCGATACGCTCCAATTGCCAAATCGTCGGTACTCGCGTTCCCTGCAAATTCAATAAATTCTTTGGATGAATCAGAAACGATTTAATTTACCAAAGTTCGATCGAAGCGAAATTTCCTAAACGGTTCGTCGTCGCTTTCACTTTTTTCTCCTTATCTTCGTTACGTACACGTTCGCGGAAACGATTGCGATACGAACGCGTGTACCTTCCGATAAGTACGTTTAATCGGGGAAACCGATGCGCGTTATCGCGCGAAATTTCATCGTCTCGGACAACCGATTTTATAAAAGCGTCAGAAATACGCGACGAACCGATGATCTTCGAGAAAACGAAGCCGAGCCTGATACGACACAACAATTTTCCGTCGCGTCGTTCTAGCTCGCATCATCGAGATACGCGATAAAAACTTGAAAAGAATAAGAGTACGTTCTGTGGGAAGAATGTACACGACGACGCAGCTATCGAACAGTTATATATTAACGATCTGATTAATAATCACATTATTATCCAGTAAGATGTTCGAAACATCGAAAACTACCGTACCGTTCGATACGAGATCTATAATCCTTTTTACGATGAAACATTTCGTTAAACGTATGCACGGATCGAGCAAAGGAGAATTCGAGTATAATCAGCGGGAAGCCGTTCTGGACCGTTCGAAGGAGAATTAATAGTAAATCGGGGAAACAAAAAGAAAACGACAAGAAAAGAAGAGCGAAGAAGGTTCCTTCTCTATTCGACTCATCGACGATTCGAGCGAAAATCGCAGCATTTTGGCGCGGTTTGCTCGCGAGGAAACACGATGCAACGATTTTTCAAAAAATCGAGCTAATATCGATTCGCGCGTAACAATGAAGGAACGCGAGGCCGGTCGTGTTCGGACAAACGAAGAACGGAGCAGAGTTTGTTTAAGGTCGATCGATATTCCAGAAGAAGGGGAAGGGTAGTTCGAAGAGAGAGAAGACGACAACTGTGTACGTCGAATACACCCGTCTCCTTACCGATACGCTCCAATTGCCAAATCGTCGGTACTCGCGTTCCCTGCAAATTCAATAAATTCTTTGGATGAATCAGAAACGATTTAATTTACCAAAGTTCGATCGAAGCGAAATTTCCTAAACGGTTCGTCGTCGCTTTCACTTTTTTCTCCTTATCTTCGTTACGTACACGTTCGCGGAAACGATTGCGATACGAACGCGTGTACCTTCCGATAAGTACGTTTAATCGGGGAAACCGATGCGCGTTATCGCGCGAAATTTCATCGTCTCGGACAACCGATTTTATAAAAGCGTCAGAAATACGCGACGAACCGATGATCTTCGAGAAAACGAAGCCGAGCCTGATACGACACAACAATTTTCCGTCGCGTCGTTCTAGCTCGCATCATCGAGATACGCGATAAAAACTTGAAAAGAATAAGAGTACGTTCTGTGGGAAGAATGTACACGACGACGCAGCTATCGAACAGTTATATATTAACGATCTGATTAATAATCACATTATTATCCAGTAAGATGTTCGAAACATCGAAAACTACCGTACCGTTCGATACGAGATCTATAATCCTTTTTACGATGAAACATTTCGTTAAACGTATGCACGGATCGAGCAAAGGAGAATTCGAGTATAATCAGCGGGAAGCCGTTCTGGACCGTTCGAAGGAGAATTAATAGTAAATCGGGGAAACAAAAAGAAAACGACAAGAAAAGAAGAGCGAAGAAGGTTCCTTCTCTATGACGTATTATCGCGATCGTGTGTAGGGGCGCGCGCGCGTGCGGTCGCGGGCGGGCAAGCAGCCGAGCTCGAGCCCGGTTAAGCAGCGGCTGGCGAGGGTGAAGGGAAACGAACTACCCCTCGCGCATGTTTCGCGTGTGTGCGCGCCGAGAAAGAGCGAGAACGGAGAGCAGAGAAGGGGGAGGCGAGGGAGAAAAGAGAAGGAGAATAGAAATCGATACGGAGCCGTATCTACGCGGAGCGTATGCTCGACCAACGTGGAGCCGTGCGTTGCACCGTTCGACGTAGCATAGTTTTCCATGAGTGGTAACGCGAATAGTCGCCGTAACGTCCTTTACCTTCGACGTTGGACGCCGCAACAAAGTCTTATCGACGAACGCCGATCATTCGATTTTTTTTTCTTACGACGCCTACCCACGATAACGACGCCTACTACGACGGCGATATAGTTTTTAGCGGTGTTCTCGGTGTCGGTGCGTCGGCTCGAATTCGAGAAATTTTCAAACGATAACGATATCGCGTTTCGCCATCGAACCTTTACGCTCGACGATATCGTTAACCGGGTTTCCCCTATCATGGTTACGCGTATCGACGCGGCGCGCGATATAGGTTGGTACGTAGTATCAATTTTTCGCGTGTCCGATCGCGCATCCGTGTATCTCCGAGGACGATTCTGCGATATTTCGACGCGACGTCTACGCTCGACGATGCTCCGTCGAAGAAATGCTAGCGATTCGGTAGCGTTCCCTGATCCCATCGTGATATTCGACGGCAAAGATGGCGATAGCGATGCCGGGTAGGCGCAAACGACGGTTATGGCCGACGACTATGAATAAGGCTTTGTGCTACGAGCACGCCGTGTTCGGTCGACTTGCACCGAAATAAACTCGTCGAGAATGAAAAAACGAGAAAGACGAAGAAAAGATCGCGCGAAGAGAAGAAAGAGGACAAGTAGGAGAAAAGGCGAGGGTTTTCGCACGGTTACCACGGTAGACCGTTAGGTTGGAGACGTTGTTCGCGATTAAAAATAGTATCAACTAAATCGACTCGTTGTACTTCGATTCGTTATCGATGCGCTACCTATCTATACCCGATTCGCATCCGATAAGAAAAACAGCTTTTGCACTCGTCTGCTAACGAAACCGAGGCTGAACGAGCTTAAAACTTTAAACGATTCCGATAGCTTGGCCGCTACCTCGCCGAGATGCGTGGCCGCGTTTCAAAGAGCATTCGATCGATCGAGCGATTTCCAGCGATTCGAAGCGATTCGAAACGATTCGAAACGATTCCAGTTGTCGGAATACCGATTTTACCCTGCTCCTCTCTTTTCTTCGATTCTCGCCTCGACGAAATAACACCTATCCATCGTTTGCTTTCAACCCTCTTTCCCCATCCGAGGTTCCTGTTCGGGTCCCTCGTTCGCTCCATCCACCGCGTATCGATTAGCCGGACGGCATAGTACCGTTGTGCCGTTGTGACGTGCCAGGGTTACTTCGTTCGTGTGGCTTTTAGGGGAACAGAGAAGAAGAAAATGAGAGCCGGAGGGTTAGGCGAGCAACGGGAGTAAGAGACGCGTAGAAAGGGAACGGGAACGGGAATGGGAACGAGAAGGAGAAAGAGGAAGAGAAAGAGAAGGGAATTAGAGAGTAGGAAGGGTCAGAGAAAGAGAGAGAAAGAAAGAGCGACGCGCGGGGTTCTGGGAGTCGGGTCGAGAGGAGAAGGGTGTTACAGCTTTTAATCCCAATGGAGGAGGAGGCCGCTCTATATCGACGGATTCGTTGATACCGAGCGCCAACACGATAAACGTTTCCGGTTATTCGGACTTTGCAAACTTGTCAAATAGACGAATACTCGTGTCTTCGTTTGATAACTCGCGTTTTCGACCGGTTCGAATCGACCAAAGGTGGCCCTGGAACAACCGACTCGGAATCTCTTCTCGACGCGTATCGGTTATAGTACGATACGAGTTTCGAGATTACATTAGAAATTCGAGTTTCTGCATCGATATCGCTATTATCCTCCTTTGTTTCCTCCACCGGAGGAAAATTAAGAACGTCGTTCGTTGTCCGGTGGCCAATTTATGCTACGCGACTTCTTTCCGACCGATATATTTTCAAAGTCGTAAACACATTTTTCCATTGTAGGTAAGTCGCGAGCGTCTTGTCGTCTAATTACGGTTCGCGATGCAACGATTACAGCGATGGTATAGCATTACGTTCGATAATGGGAATTCTCCTCCTCTCGTTCTTTTCCCTTTTACCACATTTTCTTCTTTCTTTCGGTATGCCCTCGTCGTGGCCCGACTTCCGTTCCCATTCTTCCGCACGCCCTTCGCACGCTCGAAAGCGATATTCACGAATCGCGACAGAACTTATTCTAAGGTCTCTCCTTAGAATAATTTCTGTGTACATCGCAGTGCGAAACGAGAACGTAGAATTTTCGTGAAAGACGAGAAATCGTCTGAAACAGAAAGAACAATCGGTGTTTCGCGTTGTCCGTTTTAGCGAAATCTAACCCAACCATTTAAATCGTACCGATTCAAGAAATCGTGAAATCGTTCGGTGAACGTAACCGGTATCGGCATCGACCATTTAAAATACAGATATTCTCGCACGAATCTATTTTATATGCTCGAGAAAGTTGACAGATGTTTCTAAACGGTTCACGAGTTTCTATTTACGTATCTGCTCGATTCGTAAATAACGTAGTCGACGTTAATCGACCGGTTACCGAAAGCCGAGAGCAGATCGGTTAAAAGTTCTTTCTTTCGAGTCCTTGCTCCTTCTCGTAGATCCGTTCGAGTTTCATCCGACGCAGAGTAAACGCTATCGAAACAACGACTCCATTCAGTCCCGATGGCGTAGTAGGTATTTCCGGCGTGGACAGCTAAGTTTGCGAGGCACGGTCCGACGATTGCAGCGCATACGAACGTTTATCGCGAGATGCGATCTACGAGCTACGATAAACATCGGACAGCCGTTGTACGCGTTTGCATCGCGTTTACTTTTTTCACGCGACGTTCACCTTTTTCGACAGGTCGATTTAACGAGAGAACAAACGATCGGTTTCTCGTCGGTTTCGTCGACGTTCGCGGTTCCGTGTAGTACGAGGTGCAACTCGCTACGCATCGGCATAAATATCGCGTAGAAATGGTACTCTTTCGTTCGCGTATCCATACGCGAATCCTGCTGCTTCTGGCCGGTTCGCGATGTTCCCCGTGATATATGCGCGCGAGTACGTCCAACTGCCACGCCTACCGACACTACGGTTTAATTGAGTAATCGAGTACACCCTCGCGACGTCGTCTGAATCGAGAGGAGAGTCGAGTCACTTTCGACGATATCGGTTCGTCCCTACCCTATCCTACTCCACCCTGCCCTCCTCTCTTTACTATTTATTTCCCTGTACGCGATTTCGAATACGATCGAGACGTATTCGGAAGAAACGTTCGCTATAGATGGTACGGGCCGATCGAACAGAAACAAGCGACTCGTAGAAAGAAAGGTGGAATTCGGTTCGATATTATACTCGAAGGTAAAATATCAAGAGCGAAACGGAACGATGTCCCGCGTGAATTATATCGCTCGTCCGGTTTAAGGAAAGCAGGGGCTGGACGTGACACGAGCCAGACAGAAACAATGCAATTTAAATGTTAAGCGAACGGCTAGGGTACTATCCTGTACGCCAGTTAGGTACCATACGTAACGCATATTTTACCAAGACAGAGTGTGCGTGTTAACGGGATTTCGTGAATTCAAATGCGACAGTTAAATCGAATCCGCGATCGTATAAATGTACCTCTTGCCCTCTGTTTCTCTCCTCGACCTCGTCCCCTTGGCCATACATCCTCTGTCCACCGTTTCTATTCGCCGATACGTACGAATAAATTCGTCGAGGTTATTAAGCGCGAAACTATATAGAACATAGAAAGGACATAGAGAGGACATAGAGAGGACATAGAGAGGACATAGAGAGAGAAAAAAAAAATAAATATCGTAATTTCGTTGGTCAGAAGATAAGGTAGAAAGAAAGTAAGATAGGAGAAAAGTTGGAGTGTCCTGCAACAGTAGCGACGATTGGTCGTCTATCGAATAGTAGTCGCGCGATGGAAGAAGGAAGGCACGAACGCTGCACGCTCTCTCGTGTCTATTTATATCGAATCCGTGGGCATACCGGACCAGACTGGCGGCGCGTTCTACCGTAGCGACACCGACTTTGCTGCTCCGGCTTCGACTACGATTCCGACTACCACTTGGACGCGACAACCACCGAATCCTACCTCGTCTAACGTCTCTCCTTCCAATCGGAAATAAACTCGTCGCGCTCTCGATTAAATCAAACGAACCTGCAAAATCTTATTATGTATCTGACCTTTTTACCTTTCTCTCTTTCCTTCGCCGAACGAACAAGTATATTAAAAATAACGCTTCGATCACGATTTATGCGTTTGCAATTTTACGCGAGAACGCTAGCTGAAAATGATCGACTAACGCGACAAGTTTTTTAGTCAAAAAAGTAAAGAGCGGTAAAAGAATGGTAAATTTGGTAGTAAAAGTTGGCATTTCGAAAGAAGCTGCCGGCAGTAAGAACTCAGCTCGTTGAAATCGAGGGAAAAGTACGAACAAAGTAGACGCGCGCCTACTTACGCCTACCTGTGCATGGATTCGCGATCGCGACTAGCCGTATACGGCTGTGCTCCGCGCGTATACGGTATATACGGTCGCGGTGGTCACCTTTCGAGGTTCGGTTAAAACTCTCGGCAAGGCATCGAGCAACCGAGCGTGCAACGTGGAAGCATGCTAACGTACACCCATACGGAGATAGCCCTGTGGCCATTTGCATTCAATGCGCTCTTACCTACCGAGCAACCGAGCGAGCAAACGAACGAATATCCCTTCTACGTAGCTGCTACTGCCGCTACCACTGCCATTGCTTCTCTCGCCCTTTCTAACCGGTCCATGTACCATTGTGTTTATTTATATTCGCTTTAATTATATCGGATATGGTATTGAAATCTCTGCCTCGAGAATGCGCCTCGTGCATTCGACGATGATATTACATTATATCCGTACGTTTCTCGATACCTAACCGCTTCGATGGAAAATCGCTCGAGCTTCGATTAACCAATATATCCTAAACGAAGTCTGGAAACGTCGCCATCGCGTTTCGCGTACTGCCATTTCACGATAGGCCTGCCCGACTACCCGTCGTAAGAAGCGTGGCTACTATAGGTTCAAGCGAAAAGTTTATCCCTCGTGTTATCCGGCACGAGCGGACAATCTATTATGGCACATCGATTAAAGCAAAATGCAAGGAAAATAGATCTGCTCGTCGAAATTCCGAATGCTCGCGTTGCATGTCGCGGTGGGCCGCGCGCAGCGGGTTACCGATTAAACGCGACAATAAGCAAATCGGTACCGGTAACATGAACGGAACGTGTACGGTTATCGCGGTAAATGACGCTAAACGACGCTAAACGACGTGAAATTACGAGAGAGGCGGGACTCTTTTTCATCCCTTTCGTTTGAAGTAAGTGTATCGACACGAGTTGTCGCGTGCGTCCTAGTCGTTTGCTCGTACACGCAACGACTCGTCTCTAACCGAACAGAGATTCTACATACATATTTAGCACGTTTCGAAGGACTCGTCGCGTCGCGTCCTCTCGCGCAGATGGTGCTACTACTCCCGCGCGATCTAACAGCCATGGCCGTTTGTCTGGTCCATACGCGCGCTGCTGCTCTCTCGTTAGTTGGTTCCTGCGGCTCGCGAAAAAGCCCGAGGGGTCGTATGACCGGTAGGGGTGAGAATGGCAAAAAAGACGACAGGGGCGAGACGGGAGATCCAAGAACCCTCCAATTCTTTCGCTCCAGATCTAGCGTCCGTTAATTGGAGGTTGTTTGACTACGCACCAGCTTCACCCTCTGCCCCTATCTACCCCACTCCGCGCCTTCCCTCCGTTTTTCCCTACCGGCACCCTACTACTTTTTTCTTCTTTTCCTTTCTCTGTTTCCCTTTTTTCTATTCATCTCCTTTCCCTCTCGCGGGCTCGAGTCCTCTTTCTCTATTCGTCCGACCCAAGGTTTTTCAGGGCACGGCAGTCGTCGCTTCGTAGAAAGGAAAAAACTTGCATCGGCTTTTCGTTGCCGAGTCTACGAATCCTGCGTCTAATCCTACGGCGGGGGGGGCGAGAATTTATCCGGAGGAAAAGGCGTTAAGCGACGAACGAAAATTCGCCGTAGCGCGGATACCGGTAAGCGCAGGATCGTTTCGATGGCGCTAACGATGAGCAAACAGAGCGGAACGACATGGCCGAGATACACCGACCACGTACTTGCTTACTTACGTGCGTCCGTACTACGTGACTCATCGTTTCGACGCGACGCGACGCGAAGCTTCCAACTTATCGAAGCGGTGGATATGGAAGAACTAGAATCATCGGTTTCGCGTCTCGTCATTTCGATGTTTCGTCTTATATGTATATGTACATATAGTACCTCATCCAATTAACCTTAATTATTCCTTCTCTTTCGATTCCGAATAAGCGAATGTTCGTTTATTATCAAAGATGGTTCGCTGATGGTCTTCCACGAAACACGCTGTTCGTTCTCCGTACGAATCGATCTGTTTCACTCGATAACGGAAGTCATGCCCGGAATCGTCGAGAGAAATCGTTTAATCGTCTCTAACCAAGTTTCCCGTCGTTTCAGTGTTGAGAGACGAATTCCGCGCGGAACCGCAAAACACTAGAGTGGCGGCCGGAGAAACCGCTTTGCTAGAGTGTGGACCACCCCGAGGGCATCCGGAACCAACGTTGCACTGGAAGAAGAACGGTCACGTGATAGACTTGGACACTACTAAACGGTACTTTGATCTTATTTTATTAATCGTTGAAATTTCTTTCTCCATTTTCCTTTTCTCTATTTTCTATGATCAACGATTTCTCGTCCATTCTCTACGCCATTCATCGAAAGTCGTCTCTTTCGTTACAGCATCACTTTGGTGGACGGAGGAAATTTAATGATCTCGGACGTGAGGCAAACGGACCAAGGAAAGTATCAATGCGTGGCCGAGAACATGGTGGGCGTGAAAGAATCGACGATAGCCACGTTGACGGTTCACGGTAAGAATATTTTCGATGAACCTTAAGTTTTTCGATATTTGGACGATACAATATTTTACTTTTATCTCTTTCGTTGGCTCTTCTTTTCCTGTTAGTGAAGCCATTCTTCTCGTCGACACCGACGAATCAAACGATCCTGGCGGATCAAACGGCTGAATTTGCCTGCCGAGTAGGCGGAGATCCTCCGCCCGAAATTCTTTGGCGTCGAAACGACGGGAAAATGCCTATCGGCCGAGCGCATATTCTCGACGACAAGAGTTTGCGAATCGACAGGGTCACACCGCAAGATCAAGGAACGTACATCTGCGACGCCGAAAATGGTGTCGGTGCGATATCGGCTAGCGCGACCCTTACAGTATACTGTGAGTACATATCGTACGCCGTGTTTCCGTTTTCTTTCTTTTCCTATTATTCCAGTAACGTTGGTTTTCGTTCGATTCACAGCGAGACCAGTATTCTCCAGTTTCCCGAAAGACGAAATCGTCAGCGTCGGATCTAACGTTTCGTTCTCGTGCGCGGCACGCGGTGCTCCAGAGCCTTCAATATTTTGGACCCGCGAAGGTTCTCAGGAACTGATGTTCCCTGGGAACCAATATCAGGGACGTTACGAAGTCGCGAACGATGGAAGTTTGCGTATACGCGGAGTCCTTGGAAAAGACGAAGGTCACTATGTTTGCAGCGCGATCAGTCAAGCCGGTGCGAGTACCGCAACGGTTTTTCTTCAGGTATTCGACCGTTTTACCGTACGACCATGCGTCCGTAATTTCAACGATGTACGCGCGTCGCGGCGAAAAATGCTACATCTATGCTCGTTACTTTGTCACAGGTGACGTCCGTCGAGGAAGCTCCGCCGCCTATAATCGAGATCGGTGCATCGAATCGGACGGTACCGCCAAACGGTGAAATTTCGATGCCGTGCCGTGCATTCGGTAGACCTAATCCACGGATTCGATGGTACAAGGACGGTGAACTGCTTCGAACCGATACCGACGATAGGCTAACGTTAACGAGTAACGGAACCCTTACGATAAAGAACCTACGATCGAGCGACACTGGAACGTACAGTTGCGTGGCATCCTCCGAGTCTGGGAACGCGTCGTGGACGGCCAGTTTAACGGTTAGCACGGCAGTAAGCGATCAGGAAACGACGGGTGTCGTCGGCACCGGCGTTGATGCGGTTTTACCGGATCCTTCTACGCTTCCCGCCGCCCCGAGCAAGCCGAGAATAGTGAACACCACTAGCAACGCGGTTACGCTTACCTGGAGTCCAGGTCACGACGGATCCAGCAAGATAATCGACTATACCGTCGAATATTTCGCTACCAATCCAAAGACTGGCTGGATCGTGGCCGCGACAGGGATCACCGACGATATCTACACGGTAATCTCGCGTTTTTTCACGATACTCGATTCGAAATAGCTGAACAAAGGTAAACGTCCATCGTCTCCTTTCCTCTTTCCAGGTAACCAATTTGAAACCCGATAGCAGCTACGTGTTTCTCGTTCGTGCTCGAAACGACCAAGGTCTTTCGCTCCCTGGTCCATTATCGGACGTTGCGCGTACCACCAATCTCGATCAACGCGCGATCCCGCAAACCGAACTAATTCGTGCGAGGGATCGATTGAATAGCGATATTCTTTATTTGAAAGAGGTTCAACCGTTGAGCAGTACCAGCGTTAAAATCATTTGGGACGTGAGTACGATCGTTTCGATATCGCATACGCGCAGCATTCTAAGATCGTCTAATTTGAAACGTTAATTCTCTTCGTCGATGTTGCAGATTCTCGGGGCTGCCGACTTGGTCGAAGGTTTGTACATAAGATACCGGCAACTTTCCGAGAAACCAGAATATCGAATGGTCACCGTATTGAATGCCGGCGCAACCAGCTACGTTTTAACTAACCTGAGCAAGTACACGCGTTACGAGTTTTTTCTAGTTCCTTTTTACAAAACCATCGAAGGTAGACCGAGTAACGTGAAATTAGCAACTACCTTGGAGGATGTTCCTTCCGGTGCGCCCGAAAACGTTCACGTTGGCATGATAAATGTCACGTCGGCGTTCGTTCGTTGGTCTCCACCGCCTAAAAATACCCAGAACGGTCAATTGATAGGATACAAGGTACTCGCCCTGTCAATAATCATCCATGTCGTTGACGATCGATCGTTTCTTTCGTCCTTTTCCCTTATTCGTTCACGTTCTATGTTTCAGATTCAAATAAAGAGCAACAGTAGCAATAAAATTCTAGGTCAAATGTTTTTGAACGCGTCGACTACTTCGGCGATCATTAACAGCTTGACAACGGGTGGTCTTTACTCGGCGCGCGTTGCCGGCTTAACTCGCGTCGGTCTCGGACCATTTTCCAATCCGATCGTGCTCAATATGGATCCAGGACAATTGACGCAACTGCCACCGCGTACAGATCCGAGTCACAGAAGCGCTTCCGTCGTCAACGAAACTTGGTTTTTGATATTAATGATAACCGTTGTATTGACGGTAATCGCCGCGTTATTGGGAGCTCTGTACGTTCGTCGAAGACAAACGATGAGCAAACAACTGGGACATTTGAACGTTCCCGTGGGCACAGCCAACGATATTTGTCAACTAAACAAGGATACTCTCTGGCTAGAACGTGGATGGAGACCGAGCAATACCCTCCAACCACCCTCCTCTACCGACAAAGACTGCGAGACAAAACTTCTGAACAATCAGAATCAGATCGGTTTACCACCCGGAATCGTCGGAATGACCGGTTCGGAATACGCCGAAGTTAACTTGACAACATTTTATAACGCCAGAAAGCAATTACAGGCTCCACCGGAGCCGTACGCAACGACCACGCTTTGCATGCCAACTCGTAGCCCCGACTCGATAGAAACCACCGGGCGAAAATCCAATTCGAGCGATTCCTGTCTCAAGCCGGACTACTCGAGTCTAGATTCGAATTTAGATCGAAATAAATCGACCGTATCGCCGAGTAGCGACAACGCCAGTAGCGTTTATAACGGGGACGATAATACGGAAACGCAGAGGAGAACTCATCACTACAGAATGCCGTTGCCGAACGAAAGTCAACCTTTGAATTGGTGCGACATGTTACCACCTCCTCCGGATCATCCACCTTCTTTCGAAGGATCCCTCGGTTCTGCTAGGGCTCATTCTCATTCGTTGTCGCTTTCGCATCAAGATATTAATGATAACCGTTGTATTGACGGTAATCGCCGCGTTATTGGGAGCTCTGTACGTTCGTCGAAGACAAACGATGAGCAAACAACTGGGACATTTGAACGTTCCCGTGGGCACAGCCAACGATATTTGTCAACTAAACAAGGATACTCTCTGGCTAGAACGTGGATGGAGACCGAGCAATACCCTCCAACCACCCTCCTCTACCGACAAAGACTGCGAGACAAAACTTCTGAACAATCAGAATCAGATCGGTTTACCACCCGGAATCGTCGGAATGACCGGTTCGGAATACGCCGAAGTTAACTTGACAACATTTTATAACGCCAGAAAGCAATTACAGGCTCCACCGGAGCCGTACGCAACGACCACGCTTTGCATGCCAACTCGTAGCCCCGACTCGATAGAAACCACCGGGCGAAAATCCAATTCGAGCGATTCCTGTCTCAAGCCGGACTACTCGAGTCTAGATTCGAATTTAGATCGAAATAAATCGACCGTATCGCCGAGTAGCGACAACGCCAGTAGCGTTTATAACGGGGACGATAATACGGAAACGCAGAGGAGAACTCATCACTACAGAATGCCGTTGCCGAACGAAAGTCAACCTTTGAATTGGTGCGACATGTTACCACCTCCTCCGGATCATCCACCTTCTTTCGAAGGATCCCTCGGTTCTGCTAGGGCTCATTCTCATTCGTTGTCGCTTTCGCATCAACAACAACAACAACAGCAGCAGCAGCAGCAACAACAACAGCAGCAGCAGCAACAACAACAGCAGCAGCAGCAACAACAACAGCAGCAGCAGCAACAACAACAGCAGCAGCAGCAACAACAACAGCAGCAGCAGCAACAACAACAGCAGCAGCAGCAACAACAACAGCAGCAGCAGCAACAACAACAGCAGCAGCAGCAACAACAACAGCAGCAGCAGCAACAACAACAGCAGCAGCAGCAACAACAACAGCAGCAGCAGCAACAACAACAGCAGCAGCAGCAACAACAACAGCAGCAGCAGCAACAACAACAGCAGCAGCAGCAACAACAACAGCAGCAGCAGCAACAACAACAGCAGCAGCAACAACAACAGCAGCAGCAGCAGCAACAACAACAGCAGCAGCAGCAACAACAACAGCAACAACAACAACAACAACAACAACCTCAACATCAATATCAATATCATCATCATCATCATCAAATGCATCAGATGCCGCACCAATATCAGCATCAACATCATTACCAGCACCAACAGCAACAGTCGTCGCAACAACAACCGCATCAGGCCGCATTTAGTCCGCACCTAGGAAAAAGAAGTATCGAAAGACAAAACGATTTAGACCTGATGACCGGTTCGGGGTTAGCGTTAGGATTAGGTTTAAGTTTAAATTCGAATTCGAATTCTGGATCCGGTTCGGGTTCGGGTTCAGGCTCCGGATCAGGTTCAGGGTCCGGTGGTGGCGGCTGTGGATCCGGACCCGCGTCGAGGACGTCTCAAAGTCCGCCGAGTCCACCGATCAGAGTAACAAACGATTTAGAAAATTCCGGTGCAATTTGGAACGGTTCGAGTCAACAGTCACAATCGTTCGACGGGTCGATTCAAAGGAGTAACGTTCACCATCAACAAGGCGGCAGGTACACGAGTTTACCCCCGCAAACGAATACGTCGGCATTACCCGTCTTTCCGCAAACTTTCGATCGTTACGAGTACAAAAGCAACAATCAAGAACACGAATACGAGAGCGGTTCTCTGTTGTACGGTCAGCGTAACGGTTCGCCGTTGGACGATTACGATTCAGCGTATAGTCGCGTGAACCGAGCCGATTCCCGATCGGAACAGTCGATCGCCAACGAGGAAATCTACCGACGAAACGATCAAGATCCTTATCCTACGGAGAACCTTTATCAGCCGGAAAACGACGAATGGGATAGAAAATCTTGCGATTCGAACGCTCACTCGGACGTTTGTTGCTCCTGTTCCGAATCGAGTTGTCTTTACGGAAATGCTCTGGAATACGACGATCAATTCGTTTCGTCGTCGACGAATTGTCTTCACGGTAAAACCATTTCTCGCAGTAGAAGCGGAAGAAGTCCTCGAAGAAGAAACGCCAGAACCTGCTCGCCGTCTTACAGCAGCGGCGAGAGTAACTACTCGTGTATTCCTTCGAGGCAATCCGGAAGCGTCAGCTCGCAAGAAAGATCGAGGCATAATCGCGCGAAAGGTAAACAACGCTTTAATCTTTTCCTTTCGAACGATTCTTCGCGAAATATTTAATAAAGATAAATTAACGATTCGTATTCCTCGAACGAGAAAGTTCGTTGCTACGTTTTATACTATTCACAGAGTCAGTACTTTTCTCTTTTAAATACTTTTAAATTCGTCATTTCGACCGTTTCTAAGGTATACACGTATATTGATTTTTCTTTGTTTTTCATTCAGATAAAGTGCCTAGCTTTTCAAGAATCGCCAGCCATCCTCAGCACAGTTCCTCGACTTCGAACACGGTCGGCAGTTCTGGAAGTCAAAGATACAACAAGCTGAACAACATTTTCGTAAGCAGCGGTAGCACCGGTGGCAATTCGAATGCTCCTGCAGAGTGTAATCGATCGGTCGATCTTCGCGATGGCTAGTGTTTTCGTTCGCGAAAGCGAATTATCGTCGATAAACAACAAGTGGTGACCTCGAAAATATTTTTACTTCGATCCCAACGAACCAAGAAGTCGTGTGTCGCAGAAATACCAAGCCATCTGTGCGAACTAACGGTGTTGTACCCTCGAGGTATCCGTAATCGCTTGTATCTCCTATAAATTTCACCGTTCTTTTCACTCCCTTACCGATCTTTCCTTTCTTCCACTTATCTTTAACCAATGTAATTTCTTTGTTCTAACGCTGCATCCTTTAGATACTCTGGATAATCGTTTAAAGTCGCTCAGTCTGCGCGATTCTTCCCGTTATCGGATGTTTCGTTGTTTGCTCAATAGTTCAGCTGCCTCGTCAGTCGAGCAAATCGACAATGAACGATGAACGATGAACGATGAACGGGGGAAATCGCAGGAAACAAGAGACGTAATTTGTACGTCGTGAACGCGTCGCGGGCTTCGACTCGTACTCGACATTGCATTTATTTTCTAGCGATCTTAACATCGCGGTAGAAACATTGGCGCGATCCCGTCGACTTTATCGATGGCCAACGTTCCTAAATTTCTCGAGCGTCGCGAGCAATGTTCACGATGCGATCGTCGCGGGATTTTTTGAAAAGAAAGAAAAAAAAATTGTAAAACGCGTATCGTAGTTTTTAACGATTCACTAACGACTGTAACGCGACAAGTATCGTCATCATATCGAAGAATTTTGTACGCGTAGTCGTAACCGACAATCGATTCGTATATTTTTTCGTTGATTCGTTCACAGGGAATCGCAACGATCGAAAGAAAAATGTTGGAATCGTTTCATCTCGATTGCCGGTGTATTTTTTCGAACAGGCGAAAAAAATTGACCGAGTCACAAAATACATAGAGAGATATCGATGAAACGTCGTTAACGATCGAGTGATCGTAACACGCGACGCTGTATCATAATCGCTCAAGTCTCTTGTAATTAATTTAACGGTTAAGAGTGCGAGGGTAAAGAAACAGAAGGAAGAAAAATCTGACGCGTTATCTTGGTAAAATCGAAAGCGCGCTATAGTTGTTCGGTGAGATTACTCCGATCGCGGAGAAAATAACCTTGTAAACACTGCCTCGGATTCTATCGATTCTGTAATATTACTCGCGTAGGGGGATGTATAGGTGTGTGTACGGAGGAGCAATTTGTAATATAAATTAATTGCGCGAGTTTAATCCGTATACTATGTATAGATACGAGTATAATCCATCCAGAATGTCGAGTAACGAAGAAAAGTATAATCGACTAACCCGAAGAGAAAGAAGGGTTCGTTTCCGGTAGACCGTTTTAGATCGAAACTCGAATCGGGATGCATAGCGGCCACTTAGAAGCGTATATTTTAAGTATTCGCCGTAACGCGGTACGATATCCTCGAATTATTCTCGCGTAGGTTCGTACGCCGAGTCCGCGACGAACTCGGTTAAAACGACTGGCATGTATCCACGTATCCATTGTTCTTCGGTAGAAAGAAGAACGTCGAAATTTGTACATAAATTAGCACTCGAGATTTTACTATCCTACGCGACACGAAGAAACGATCGATGGTAGTTACTCATACTTACAATACGCATACGTAGGTACCTATCCGGAAAAAAAAAAAATAGTTGGTTCGAGAGCGTAATCTCGCGATACTTTGGTAACATTCGGTGTTACCAGAGATACGAGAACACGGTCTTTCGCTTGTACGTTGAACCATCCTATCAATTTGCGAGAAAAAGAAAAAAGTAATATTATTTTTATAGTTTCTCAGATTTGCACGATTGTTACGATGGTTCGTACTGTTTGTATCATAACGACGCGTAAAACCTGGTCGATTCGAACGAAAATAAAATATATCGCGTACGCGTCTAGCTTGTACAATTTCTTTCCCATATTCATATTTTCACTTCTCTCTTATTTTTTTTTTTTCTTCATTTCATGTTCTTTATCTCGACTAGAACCTCGCGCTCAATCTCTCATTCGTTAGCATCGCCGAGCGTCGTCGTTACGATTACCGTCGCTATCTCGCACCGTCGTCGTCGCATTCACGATCGCCATCGCCATCAGCATCAACATTACCATTATCATTATCATTAACATTCCTTCTGTCGTACCCCCCGTGAACGTCGTCCGTAATTTCAATCGGTTTCTACCTAAATCGCTCATCCGCTTGTTCTCGCTTTCGCAGTACGTACGTCCGTTCGAGACCGCCTGTCGAGAAACGGAGCACGGAATCGGCCAACGAGAAACGTTATTCTTCCGTTCGCGAAAGAAGGAAATTAAACGCGATTCAGACTGACTCGTGTTCGTAGAATAAAATTTCTTCGATGAACTTTGTTCCGAAGGAGGAACAAGGAGATTCAACGAAGCTTTCCTAAGTGATTTCGTGATCGCTGCCAATCGCTGTTATCGCAGTAATCACGTACCGCGAGATGTTCGAACATCTTACCGATTTTAGAATATTTTACAGTCGCGCGAGCGTGCGTCGACGTCATATCATTAATTTGTTCGGATCCGAAAGACGTATCTTTTTAAGTCTAAATCGAAATTCTAAGGCTGAGAAAGTGATTTAGCTTAATCTCGTTTACATTTTGTAAATAATAAAACGCATTTAAAGAAAAGACGCGAATCGCTCGTCCGTAAGCGTTTTCATAGGCAATAACTTATTTATTACGAGACAAGCACAAACGGTTGTCGTATTATTCGAAAACGGGGACGAACCGACCTTGAAAAAAATTGGTTTATAATAGAGTACGTATACAGGCGAAGATGCGCGCACAATTGTAGATAAATAAAGTAATATTGTCAAGTAATACGTATACCATATATGAAAACGATATACGAAAACGTTACATAATATGCGAGTAACGGTTATTAATAAAAGGAATAAACGAAAAGGACGTTAAAATCTGTAGCTTTTTTACCACCCGAAGGAACCACCTTCTTTTTTTCTTCCTATAAACGTATAATACGCACGTGTGTAATCATGACATTTTATTAGAAGGTAAAATAACGATTTGACAATTATTTACAATGTCTTTGTTTTTTTTTTTTTTAAATATCGTGTGGCCGAGAAACCGAAGGAAAGGAAGAAAAAGAAGAAATATGGAATCGAGAAGAAACTGGCTTACATCTAATATACGATAACGTTATCCGCAACCACCTTTTCCGCAACAGGTGCGCTTCGGAGGTCGGTATCCCCTAGAATTGTCGCCCATTAACGGATTGTAATCTGCAAAATGAAATAAAAAAAATGAGAATAAAAGGAAGGTAACGATCGATTTGTCGGCGAATCGCAATTTTACCTCCTTTCAAAGATTTCTTATTCTTCTGAACGAACGTAGATTCATCGCGAGAAGAGTTCCCTAGCCTTTGACCAGCGAACGCGTTGTCTATCAATCTCGCTGCTTCTCTCTTGATTTCCTTCTAACGTCGAACGAAGCGTTATTTACTTATCGAACGTATCCTGTACGCAGATATTCTAGCATATTCGATCAACCGATCGACGCTTAAAAAGACTGAACAAACATAACCTGACCTAACCTCTTTTTCTTCTTGTCGCGCTAGCACGCATTTCTCGTAATACTTTTCTTGCATTCGTTGCCGGGATGCCTCCAAAGCGGATAATCTTTCTTGTAAGAGATCCGGATCTACGGAGAAAGGAAATTAGCATACTTTTTTCTGGAACGATCGGTCTTTCCGTAATACTTACCTTTATGATATTTAGCAGCATAATCTCTCTCGTCTATTCTCAATTTCCATTTTCTATACTTTTCCTGAATATAAGGAGACGCGTACCAACAGCAAACGAATATCGCAACGATATACCATCCAACGGACGCGATACTAGCCCATACTGTCAATGTGTAAAATACGATTAATATCGTAATGGTCTATTACAATTTGCTTGAACAATCCGTTATACGTGTCATAACATACGCACCTGCTTTGAAATAAGAAACTCCAAAGGTTTCGTCTTTATAATCCATGCCGAAGAAATATCTGAAAAAGCGATGACTGTCCAAAATTCCAGTAATTTGTTGTATCCGAAATGATGATGACAGTTTATAAGCGCATCTCTTTCTTCGTCGGTTAGTTTTGCCAACTTTGCAAACGGTCATAGATTATATTAAAGCTAGATGGGTCGCGGTGTAAGATTGCCAACTTGAAAATGTAAAGGAACGCAATAGTGCCAACACGAAATAGTCATAGAGCAGCTAGAATCAAGATGGTCACGAGACGTTAACGCAGCATCGCCAACCTCGAAGAGCGAAGGAATTCGACGCTGCCAACCTGCGAGGTACTCCGCCGCGTTTCGGAATAGCCACCTTCTGAAACAAAAAATGCGAAGAACATTCGAAAACACCTCTAAGAAGCCAAGAAAATTTCGAAAAGCCTCGAAAAATCAAAGACAACGAATAAAAAGCGATAAGAACGAAGAAAAGAAATCGATTCAGCGGTATTTTAACGACACGAAGGAAACGCGAATCGCTATATACATCGATGTGAACGGGACAGAAGCATCGATGTGAATAGACGAAAGCAGCGATGTGAACGGGTACGCGCACCGCTGTGAACGGCTCCTCGACGTCCCTGATTGGTCCGCGCCCGAACCAATCGACGCGAAGGGTTCTGTCTCGATGCTGCCAACCTCCGAACGTGCGGCAACGCAACGCTGCCAACCTGAGAGACGCGTCGCCGCGATTCGGAATAGCCAACCTGGAAAAACAAAAGAAAGAACGCGAAGAAAAAACGAAAAGACCTCGCCAAAGCCGAAAGAAACGTCGAAAAGCTTCGAGGAACGAAAGAGAACGAACAGAGAGCGACAAAAACGAAGAAAAGAACACGATTTACCGTTGTTGCAACGAAGCGAAGCCAATGTGAACGGGTGTACGCGTCGATGTGCACGGGGCCGAAGCATCGATGTGAACGGGTATAGGCAACGATGTGAAAGACACCTCGACGTCCCTGATTGGTCCGCGCCCGAACCAATCGACGCGAAGGGTTCTGTCTCGATGCTGCCAACCTCCGAACGTGCGGCAACGCAACGCTGCCAACCTGAGAGACGCGTCGCCGCGATTCGGAATAGCCAACCTGGAAAAACAAAAGAAAGAACGCGAAGAAAAAACGAAAAGACCTCGCCAAAGCCGAAAGAAACGTCGAAAAGCTTCGAGGAACGAAAGAGAACGAACAGAGAGCGACAGAAACAAAGAATAGAACTCGATTTACCGTTATTACGACGAGCGGTATTTTAACGAAACGAAGGAAACGTGAATCGGTATATACATCGATTAGAATAGGCGAAAGCAGCGATGTGAACGGGTACGCGCACCGCTGTGAACGGCTCCTCGACGTCCCTGATTGGTCCGCGCCCGAACCAATCGACGCGAAGGGTTCTGTCTCGATGCTGCCAACCTCCGAACGTGCGGCAACGCAACGCTGCCAACCTGAGAGACGCGTCGCCGCGACTCGGAATAGCCAACCTCGGAAAAGAAAGGAAAGAACGCGAAGAAAAATGGAAAAGACTTCGCAAAAGCCGAAAGAAACATCGAAAAGCTTCGACGAACGAAAGAGAACGAACAGAGAGCGACAGAAACGAAGAATAAAAGTCGATTTAGCTATGATACAACGATTTACCGTTGTTGCAACGAAGCGAAGCCAATGTGAACGGGTGTACGCGTCGATGTGCACGGGGCCGAAGCATCGATGTGAACGGGTATAGGCAACGATGTGAAAGACACCTCGACGTCCCTGATTGGTCCGCGCCCGAACGCGTCGACCTGAAGGTGTCTCTCGATGCTGCCAACATCGACGAAGCAACGAAAAATCGCACGAAATGCGAAGAAACGTCGAAAAACGCGAGGACGAGTTGCAAAGGCGTGCCAAAAGCAAAGAAAACGAATAAGAAGCGACAAGAAGGAAGAAAGAAATCGATTTATCCGTATTTTAACGAAACGAAGGAAATGTGAACGGGTGTACGTCTCCATGTGAACGGGGCAAACGCACCGATGTGAAAGGCACCTCGACGTCTCTCATTGGTCCGCGCCGAAAACGCAACGACGTGAAGTAGTGTTCAGGAAGTGCCAACTTCGAAAAAGCGAAGAAAAAATCGCAGAAAATGCGAAGAAACGTTCGAAAACGCGAAGACGAGTCGCAAAGGCGTGCCAAAAGCAAAGAACGCGAACGAAATAAATTATTTTCGCCGTATCGCAACGAAGCTAGGCATCGATGTGAATAGGTACGCGCAGCAATGTGAACGGGGCGAAAGCATCGATGTGAAAGGCACCTCGACGTCTCTCATTGGTCCGCGCCGAAAACGCAACGACGTGAAGTAGTGTTCAGGAAGTGCCAACTTCGAAAAAGCGAAGAAAAAATCGCAGAAAATGCGAAGAAACGTTCGAAAACGCGAAGACGAGTCGCAAAGGCGCGCCAAAAGCAAAGAACGCGAACGAAATAAATTATTTTCGCCGTATCGCAACGAAGCTAGGCATCGATGTGAATAGGTACGCGCAGCAATGTGAACGGGGCGAAAGCATCGATGTGAAAGGCACCTCGACGTCTCTCATTGGTCCGCGCCGAAAACGCAACGACGTGAAGTAGTGTTCAGGAAGTGCCAACTTCGAAAAAGCGAAGAAAAAATCGCAGAAAATGCGAAGAAACGTTCGAAAACGCGAAGACGAGTCGCAAAGGCGTGCCAAAAGCAAAGAACGCGAACGAAATAAATTATTTTCGCCGTATTGCAAGGAAGGTAGGCATCAATGTGAATAGGTACGCGCGTCGATGTGAACGGGGCAAACGCACCGATGTGAAAGGCACCTCGACGTCTCTCATTGGTCCGCGCCGAAAACGCAACGACGTGAAGTAGTGTTCAGGAAGTGCCAACTTCGAAAAAGCGAAGAAAAAATCGCAGAAAATGCGAAGAAACGTTCGAAAACGCGAAGACGAGTCGCAAAGGCGCGCCAAAAGCAAAGAACGCGAACGAAATAAATTATTTTCGCCGTATCGCAACGAAGCTAGGCATCGATGTGAATAGGTACGCGCAGCAATGTGAACGGGGCGAAAGCATCGATGTGAAAGGCACCTCGACGTCTCCGATTGGTCCGCGCCCGAACGCATCGACCTGAAGGTGTCTCTAGATGCTGCCAACATCGACGAAGCGATGAAAAATCGCCAAAAATGCAAAGAAACGTTGAAAAACGCGAAGACCAATTGCAAAAGCCTGGAAGAAACAAAGAAAACGAAGAAAAGCAATCGCTCTCGCCGCATCGCAACGAAGCCAAGCCAATGTGAACGGGTGTACGCACCAAAGTGAACGATACCTCGGCGTCCCTCATTGGTCCTCGCATCGACGTGAACAGTGTCTCGGAACTACCAACATCGAAAAAGCAAAGACAGAATCGCAGGAAATGCGAAGATACGGCGAAAGAAGCAAAGAGAAACTGCAAAAGCGTGCGAAAAGCAAAGAAAAGTACGAACAAATTGCTTTAGCCGCAATAAAACGAAGCGAAGGCAAAGCGAGTAGGTACGAGCATCGACGTGAACTGGCCTAAGCATTAATGTGAACTGGTAAAAGCATTAATGTTAACAGGGCATAAGCATGAATGTGAAGGGGCCTAAGCATAAATGTGAAGCGGTAAAAGCATCAATGTGAAGGGGACAAAGCACCGATGTGAACGGGGCAAAAGCATCGATGTGAACAGGTATACGCACCGATGTGAACGGCTCCTCGCCACCTCTGATTGGTCCGCGCCTCCAACGCATCGACGTGAACCGGTATTTCACTGTTGCCAACTTCGGAACGCTGCCGAATACATCGAACTCGTTTCCAAACGATTATCCCACCGTTAAAGCAAACGAACGCGCAGAAAACATTAAAAGCT